TAGATGGGGAGTGTACAATTGCTTTTCAGTAATATAATCAAGCATACCTTCAAAAACCATGCTGGGAGAACTTCTTTAATCTTAATTTTTTAATTTACGTTCAATTCAATATAACAAACAATTTAACAAAAAAAAGAAAAAGAAAAAGAAGATTTGAAAATTTACCATATAAATTATGCTTTAAACCCAATATACATAGACGGTCCATTTCATGGTACGTTAGAGGGATTCTTTTCTATCCCAATTTTTTTAGATGGTCTTAAAGATATTAAAATTAACACTTTTGGAAAAAAATGATTCGAAGTTGTTAAAGGCGTAGTTATCAATGTCGTTTAGATGGACGATCCAGAATCATTGCTAAAGAGCGACTTATAGTGACCTATTTGGTTGAATTTTCTTCTTTACTTTTTGGCATTGACTGTATTCATTATATTACATTGAAATTATAGTATAAATTGTTCAATATTAATATAATGAAACAATCTTAAAAAAAATCATGATAGGACTATTTGGCCCAATTTTCAAATACACACTTTTTTCATTCTAATAAACAATCATAAAAAAGCAAACGTTAAAGACACTCTAGAAAGTGCTTTTCTATCCTAATTAACATACACCATCCATTTTGGTGTGATGCTTAAATCTAGACCTTAGATGCAATTTTTTTCCTTTCCAAGATTTTTGATGGCTTTATTATCATTAAATGAAGAATGCCTCAAAAGAAAAAATTTATTTTAAGCTCGTGAATGTCTAGATCTTGATATTCACCAAATGGATGGTCTAGATTTATTGATAGAGAATGACTCATTTTATCAATATCTAGTATGCAAATTAAATTTTATTTTATTTAGATGATTGTTCGGATGGAGAGTGGGTGTGTAGAATTTTTTAGGGTCATAATGTTACAAAATCAAGATGCATGGACAGAAAAAAATGGATTTCAAATTCTGGAAATAGTGCATTTTGTAATGCATTTTCGGACGGTCAATTTTCAAGTTTTCGTAGATTTGTCCATCTACACTATTTTTTATTTTTTAAACTTTATAAATAAAGATGAAAATATATTTTAAGGCTATCACAATGGTTTCCAGTATTGAAATCACATTTCTCAACATTGTTTGAAGGTAGGCTCTAATTTGATTGTTTAGAACCAAGCTCTATACAAACTACACCTTATTAATAATGGCATGGTGAAATAAAATCACTCCCCATATATGCGCCTGTATGTGTCAGTGTATGTGCACATATATTCATTAATGCATCATCTATAGGATGTGTGTTATTCGTGAATGACGTCCCCTAATATTTGTGGATGAAGTCCCCTAATGTATGTTGATTGGGTATAGCATAGTTTTGATTAACCAGACTAGAGACAATGTTAATGCAAATGCAGAACTTTGAAGTGTAGCTTTAGAATCTAAAGCTTTTAAAATTAATAGGACTAAGGAAAAAGATATGAATTTGTAAGTTTAGAAATAATAGGAGTAGAAACAAGGAATTAGTTAAGATTGAAAGCTAATGCATACCTAAAAAATAATTATTTTCGATATCTTGGGTTGATAATCCTTGGCAAATGAGATATTGAGGAAGATGTTACTCATAGAATAAGAGCTAGATGGACGAACTCAAGATGTGCTTTTGAGTCTTTTGTGATCAGCGCATACAAATAAAACTGAAGGGGAAAGTTCTATAGTACAACCATAAGGCCATTCTTACTTTAAAAGAAGGAATGTTGGGCTATCAAGAAATGATAAATCTATGGAACGAGTACAGCTGAGATGAGGATCTTGAGATGAATGAATGGCAAAATAAGGAAGGATTAGAGTTCAAAACATAGATGTCAGAAATGATTGGGAACCCAAATCGTTTTAGGAAGCGGAATCGTAAAATCGTGGCTACCTAAAAGATTCTTGTTTTAAGAATTGACATCCATACAATGTGAATTGCGGGCAACGAGATTCCCAAATTTCTGGAATCGCATCTCAACCAAGATAGATTCGAAATTCATCCATATTTGGAATCGAGATTCCGTCCTCCTTGGAATCGAGATTCCCAACTCCTGAAATCAACACTCGAGGAGTCAAGATTCATTGATATGTGGAATCGACATTCCAACATCTATGGGATCGAGTTTGTTACATATGTTGAATAGAGATATTTAGAATAGTGATTTGAACATCTTTGGAATCGCATTTCTGAGGTATACGGAGATGAGATCCATGCCAGGTTGAAATGGAAAATTACATTAGTATGGAATGAATGCATTTGAACCCTACTAGGAATTGAGATTTGAATTATATGCAGTTAGAAGTCCCATACATTGAGCCTTGTCGACTTTAGAATCCATATCTGGCTCCAACTTAGGGCCCAATAATTTTAAAGTGATTGCCTTGACTATTGAACTTAGGGCCCAATAATCAACTAGGAAAATTATATTTAAAAGATATATTTCCAAATTGTAATTTTCACTTTATTATATAGACAAAATAGGATTATGTAGACAAAATAGGAGTATATATTTTTAAAAGATATGGAAGCAAGATTCCTAATTGATTGAATCGCACTTCCCTACATCTATGAACCGATGTACTCACGTTGTAGATCCTAAATTCAAAATCCTAACGAAACATGAATCATTACATGTAGAATCATGTATCATTCGACGTGGACTGAAAATTCAATCTTTGCTGGAGTCACAATCCGATGTATTTGGGAACAAATTTCTACAAATAATGGGTTAAATTCTAAAGATGTATTGAAAAGGAGATTCTTAAATTAAAGAATCGAGATTCTGTGGCTCTGGGATACGGTTTTGAAGAAGATTCCTTAACGAAATTGCCAAATCGGGTTTCCAATCCATAATTTCATGGTCGGCAAAGAGATTCCGGTAGCTATGATTCAGAATGAACAAATGTGAGCGAACTTAAGGGTAACTTCAATAGGTGATAAAATGAGGGAAAATAGACTTGGTCATGTGCAAAGTCAATTTAGAAAGGACCAGTTAGGAACGGTGATTTGAGTCAAGTGGAAGGCTCTAAAGGGTATGGGAAAGGCCCAAAAATACATGGATAGAATCAGTGTGAAAAGATATGGTGACTTATGGTCTGATTGAGGATACGGCCCTTGATAGAGCAGAATGGTAGAAAAAGATTCATGTAGCTTACCCCAAATAGTTAGAATAAGGCTCGGATGATGATGATGACTCTATGTATGTGTGTGTACATGTGTGTGCGTGTGTTTGTATACCACCTCTAGGGTCATACATGTCTCACACTAATGTCATTTGATACTAGGCACTACTCTTCATTTTTCTCTCACCACGGTGCCGTACACTTTTTATTTTATGTGTGTCTATTAATGAGAGAGGAAGGAGCTTATTTTATTTTGTTTTCAATAATGAAAAAAATTAGAAGCATCCAAAGAACCCTTAAGCCCCCTCCTTCCTGAGCCTACTGCAAAACAGAGTGTAGCTGCTCTTAGAGGAGCATAGCCACCACTCTTGCTCCAATTTTATCTGTAGTGTCTACTACTAAGGAGGAGAAGAAGACAAAATGGGGCTTGACAACTCTACAAAATGCATGGTTTACTTTCTTTTCTTTATTTGGAACATTTGGCTCACGAGTCGTTTTTAGGTTTGTGCCCACAGAAAAAAACATGCGAAGAAAGAAGATACACAAAAAGGTTAGGGGCATCATCCAAGAACTCATCCAAAAGAAAGAGACGGAAATCAAAAGTGGGACTCTTTATAACCATGACTTGCTGGGATTATTATTAGAATCAAACAACACCAATGATAACAAAAGTAAACTGACACTGGATGATGTTATAGAGGAGTGTAAACTCTTCTACTTTGCTGGACAAGAGACCACATCTACACTATTGACTTGGACAATGGTGGTGTTGTCGATGCATCCCACGTGGCAGCAGAGGGCGAGAGATGAGGTTATGCAAGTCATTGGATCACAATACACTTATTTGCCAACACTTGAACAATTGTCTCACCTTAAAATTGTAAGTACCCCAAACCTCCAATTTCTTTTGGTTTTATTTCATCTGGAAAGCTAGATCCTTTCACTTTTTTGCTCAAGATAATGGTTGGGTGGCCTACTTTATTTTCCATATTAAAGTAGAGACAAGAACTCTAATATATATATAAATAGTTCGAGTTTTCCAATTCCAAACAAATATCATATTAAAACTGATACAAAATAGGCTCATCAAATATATCAATTTGCATGCCATGATTGTATTAAAAAAATATGAATTCCAAATTGAAGGCAAAAAAATGAATTAAAGCATTTCCCCTTATTATGAAAATAAAGCATAAGAAAATCGTATTTTTTGAATGCAAAACATGGAAACCATCTCTAAACAAGGCTTACATCCCACCTTTCAATCAAGAATTATAAGGCTACCCTAGCCTATTAACGACATTCTAATGTGGTCGAGGTGAAATTTCGATCATATCCTGCAGTATATATACTGCTGGTCTTTCTTTATATATGTTAATTAACATCTATAATAAGTCTCTACTTGATATAAATTCCCTAACATTGTCCCATAAGTGATATAAAGAAAAGTGAAAATTGCATGAGTATGGAAAAATATTATATGCTCATGGAGTACTTTTAGCACTGTGAATTTTCGGGCTATGACCTGCACAACCTATGACTAACTACAAAGAAATCTTCAATTTTGTACCTTGAAAGTACATGAAAAAATCATGCTCAAGTCTTCAATTTGCACCGTGAAAAATGCATTAAAAAAAAGAGAGAAATCCAATCCAATTGTTGGACATGTAGAATAGCTAGAAAAAATTGGCTTTACTCAAATAGCATGTAGGAAATTTGATTTTGTTAAAAGCAAATGGAATATGAGAGGAGGCACACCATACGTCAAGGAGATTTAGGTTTATTTCTTAATTTTAATAAGGAAACAAAAAAACTAGATGCTAGGCACTCTTTTGGTGGAGATTAGCTCTCAACATGACAATGACAGTAACACCACCTATTTTGTAGAAGAAACGTCTAATCAAAAGAACATCCATGCACTGAACAAAACAAACCTACTATATTGATATGCACAAACATATTATTCTATTAGATAAACATCAAATTTGAGAGATGCTATGGTCTTAAGATCAATATCAAATTCAAAAGATGCTACAATCAGAGGCCATAAAAGAGATATTAAGATGTACCTCAAGAGCCTCTTACAATTCCATGCTTGTATGCATTTGTCCCTTTGGGAGCATCCAACAATGTTGGGAAAATATAATTCCTCTCTACTATATTGATATGCACAAACATTTATTAGTCTTTGAGCTCTTTCATGAATTTGGCTTTTGTAGTATACATTTCCCACGAGTTCTCAAAACTTTTTTCTAATTAAGAAACCTTGAGATCTTTTTTAGTGACTATAAAACTCTTCTTCCAAAATGTTTTTGAAAAACATTTTCCAAAAATCATTCAACCTTTCAAAAGAAATTCCATGACTTTGTTTTTTGCAAGCAGATGTACCCATTGGGCAAAAATAGGTTCGACCAATAATTATTTTTCTGCAGTACGAAAAGCAAGCATGGTGTCGTCATGGACACAGAGTCTTTATCCAAACTGCAGCATGAGCTTTCCTGCTGTGCATTTCTTTCTTTCAAGGCATCACCAACTATGAGAATGGTTGATTTTCCTCCTTCCTCTTTCCTCTTCTTCATGCCCTCGATGATATTTTTGTCTTCTTGGAATGCCTTTACATTTTGTCCAACTCAATTTTTCAAATACTTCTTTAAAAAACAGTACTCATGAGCCCATTTTTATTCCTTTCTTTTTCAAAATAATCCATATAACTTACATAAATTTTTTAAGGACTTCATGCTAATTCAAAAAAAAAAAGAGAAGTGGAATTATTTTACTCAAATTATGAAAATTTCCTTGACTAGTCAAATTGTTAACTCTGATATTGCTTTTGGAAACTTTTACTTTGCTTTGATAACACACGTGGCATTTTAATGGGAAGTGATTTCATAGAACGGTTGTATAGTAATATAATGAAACAATTTTTAAAAATCTGGTTAAGGCCATTTGTTTGACTCCAATATTTAAATTTACACTCTTTTCATTCCAATAAACTATTTAAAGAAAATAAAATTTGAAAACACCACCAAGAAAGTATCTTTTAGCCCAAGTAACAAACATTGTCCAATATCATTAAACGAACAATGTTAAAAAAGAATACAATGATTTTGAATTCATAAAGAGAGCGTGAGTATAAATTTCATTATATTACTGGTGACATGAAATCACTTCCCCAATTTTAATATGTTCAAACATATAGATTATGGGCGGAGGAAAAGGCACACAATATCTCATGGAGCTTTCGGTGTTTAATATGTCCCAAATGGCAAAGAAAGAAATTGGGAGCCAGGGCACCACTTTCGGGAGAGTTTAGCTCTCAACACGAGTGTCATGACTCGTCCAAGTCCACTAGGACTCGAGCAAGACCGAGTTCCCCGAGTTTCATGTACTACTTGGGGATATAAAAATTTAACAAAAGAAGTAAATTTAGAAATTGTTTTGTGATCTTTTTATATATGATTCTTTTACAATCTTTTTGTATTTGGAAAAGATTGGTGCATGTTTTTTTTTTCCTAATCACTATTTTTATATTTTCATCAGTTTTTTGGAGATTTTGACGTATCTCAAACTGTAAATCGGCATTTTCAAATGTATTTTTCAATATTTTTTAGCTTGTTTTAAATTTTTAAAGGTATTTAGATTCAATTTACTTTTACTACATATTTTTTATTTTTTAAAATTTTCAATGTTGTAAATTTCATTTTTAGGGCCAAAAGGTCACTCGGCCGAGTCCCGAGGGCCAATGGGTCCCAGCACGATGTTCGACACAATGAAGACAATTCCCTACTATTTGGGGGAGGAAAGATCCCTTCAAAATTATATTCATGCATTAAGATACTATCAGATCATCATCAAAATTGAGAGAGGCTATGTCCACAACTTATAGGAGAGAATGGAGATTTACCTCATAGGCTCTTTACAATTCCACACATACTCTATGATTTTCTACTTCCTTTCACCTTGCAATTTCTAAACATAGCAACTCTATTTATAGAGGCTTTTCTATAATTTTTTACACAAACAATTAATGGATTCAACCTATTTCCATAGCACTTCTTCTTTTCTTGCCCCTTCAAGAATAATCTTTCCTCTCTCCAAAATTATATTTGTAGGGAGAACGGCCCCACTCTTGGCTATTCTCTCTTCATAGTCTCCGTGTGGCCTAAAAAGGTACTGCGGTTGTAATCCTTTCATGTTAAAGTATTTGATTTTCTTCTATATGGCAACCCTCATAAGGACAGATGAATTTTGTAGGTAAACATGATCCTGAATGAGGTTCTCAGGCTTTACCCACCAGGGCCCCTTCTTCTCCGGCAAACCTACAAAAGGATAAGTCTTCGAGGCATAGATTTCCCTGCTGGTGTTGAGCTCGCCCTACCTGTAATCATGATCCACCATGACAGAGAACTTTGGGGCGATGATGCAGATGAGTTCCAACCTACCCGGTTCTCCGACGGAGTTTCAAAAGCATCTAAACACCCATTTGCTTTCTTCCCCTTTGGAGGGGGACCTAGAATCTGCATTGGACAAAACTTTGCCTTAATCGAGGCCAAGATGGTTCTCGCCATGGTGCTGATGAAATTCTCTTTCCATCTATCACCATTATATACACACGCCCCATGCCAGCAGCTTACTTTACAACCACAACATGGAGCTCCCATCATATTACATAAACTCTGAGTTTATGTCACATACTAGCCATGCATAATTTTCATATGTTAAGTTTATGATTCCCCTTTTTTAATGGTGTGATTGAGGAACCGGCCTCCCATTTTTCAGCTTTAGACAAATCAAGTTCTAAGTGTGTTTTAATTAGAGATTCAAGTGATATAACTATTTAATTAGAGATTCAAGTGATATAACTATGTATTAATATCGTAACTTGTGATGAGTAACGTTTTCAGGGAGAAATAAAATCAAAGGGTCATGTGATCCATCGCATATTGACTTGAGATTGTCATGTCACTCTGACTCAAGATTGTAATGTCACTCTTCATGTTTACATGAACCGGAAAGGTACATAACTTTATTTTGATATATATATATATATATATATATATATATATATATATATTATATATAGAGAAGAGAAGAGAGTAGTTAGTTTGTACGTTGTACGTTAGT